TGCAATTGCATCACTGCTTATTAAATGGTATCTGGAAATTCTGAAAACTAAATAAAATACATACCAGGCACATAGAAAACAATCGTTCCCAAGGACAGTTCTGTGGAATGAGCAGGAATGGAAACTAAAGATGTGTACGGGCTGCAGTGCCAAACAGGATGGCTGAATTCTTGTTTGTGGGCACCTTGAAGGCTCCACCCCACTGTGTTTGATAGTCTTACAATGCAATGCAAACCGCCATTCAGCCACAGAAATCATTAAGCCATCATACCAGTTGGATTTCCACGGCATTTTAAAATTTACAAAGGACATTCACCAACTTTATCTCATTTAATCCTCCTAAGAACCCTGTAAGAGAAATAGTACTGCCCTCATTTACCAAGGAGGCAAATGAGTTTTGGGTAAGTCATCTGTCCAAGCTCACACAGCAAGCGAATGACAGAACGGAGGCCAGATGGGTCTCTGTGCCTCAAAACCCACACTGGGTTTCAACTATTAACATCTTGGTTACTGCGCAGGAAGAAAAACCTTCATTAATGGACACCACTCTGCGAAAGTGCATTCTTTCCTCTTGCTCTGGGCAAGATGGCTCCATTCCAGGCAAAGCTGGCACTAGCGCCCATTATGTTACTTTCCTGAACGACCTCCTGCAAAATGTAATCATCATCACCCCAAACAGATTGAAGCTTCAATTCATGGCAGTACGGCACAATTTTACATTATTTCTTTTCACTGCAAATGAATTGACTCTCAGAAATTACCCCTAACCTATTTAAGTTTTTGTAGAAAATGGTATTGCAAAATATTGTTAGCAGGCATATGCAAGATGTGTAGGATGAGGTAAATTCTCTCTTTGAACATCACACTTGCAGTAAGTTCTAAGACTAAAAGTGAGGGTGGAAATGAGCTCGAGGCACTAAGCACAGAAGCTGTGAAGTTGGCTTCTGGAGAATCTTGTCATTGAGGAAAATCTAGCTGTGCCTACTGACAGGAAAAAAGTGGGAGAATTGAAAAAATAGGAGACCTTGGTGTATAAAAGTTAATAGAGCAATAAGCCTGTTTTCCATCATCTAGAAATATAAGTTCATTTTTGAACTTACTTCATAATAGAATAATGTAAGAGAAAAGAACAATAAGAAGGAAAGAAAATGATTATTTCTAGACATAGATGTAGTTCCAGAGTACGTTCCTGTGCCATGCATCAGGGAGCGTTAGAAAGAAAAGTGGTGTCACAGCTGTAAGTCATTGATTATGATGCCTTTCAGCCTTGCCTCCTGAGAATTTATGATGTGTGTGTGTTTTCAGGGAACTAGTATTAAAGTTGTTTTAACCCATTAAATATTTGTTAAAGGTAAGAAAGGAAAAAGTAAAATGCTTCAAAATATAGTAAGTGCTATCTGTTTGATTTGCTTGATGGTCTTATATAAGAATTTTTCCTACAGGTCCTAATTCAGTACTTCCATTCTTCATTATATAGAACCATATATTATGAAATGTACCTATTCATATCTTCATTTAAGAAGACATGCATTATTGCCACTAAGTAATTAGCTTTTGAAGACCTGCATAATTTTGTGGAAGCACACAAAAAATCCGTTTATACTGTTATGTTTAAGGGCAAGAATATAGATAAGCAAAAGGCACAGGTGAAATAAATGCAACAGAATAATTATTATCAACTGTTTGAGCACTCAGAACAACTCTTTAATTTAACTTGGGGGGAAAAGACTTCTTAGGAAATAAATAATAACCAGTTCAATATGTAATAGGATATTGAGTGAAATTTTTCCTGTTATCTCAAAATTTTAGTGAAGGCCCAAAGCCAAAAGTGAAATGCCAAATTCTGAAGACAGTCCCCCTAAAACAAAAAATTGGGAAGAGACCCTGAATGCAACATTTACTAAGAGGCTATCCACTGGTTCTGAAACCACCGACTGGGGAAAGGGGGAGAGGGGTCTGTTCTCTAAGAGGTGCCTGTGCTGAGAGGGCTTTCTTCCTCTGTGCCATGCTTCTTCCGCCGCCCCCCCCGACCCCGCACCACCCCACAGACAGGTGACTAGGATGGGAAGGATGATTCATTCAAGTGAGTCATTCAAAAGACATATGGTGCCACCCCAATTAAAGGTATTAAATATGGTGGACTGAACACACACATACATCTATCCCTATTCCTTATAGAAGCCCTACTGAAACAACAGTTAGGAATATTTGTTAAGTAATGATAACACAAGGACAAAGAAAACAGTGGAAAAAAATAATTGCAAAAGAAGACAAGAGAAAAATCATAATCTGAAAACCGGGGTGAATGTTAAGGGATCTCCAGGGCCCGAGAGCGCTGGGTCCAGAACTAGCCATGGGGAAAGCCAGTAAGCCACCCAGTGTGCACTGCGGGTCCCTGAAAGCACGCCAGCTGGACACTCCAGGTGCATCTGTGAGTGAGGGAAAGACGGTTTGAAAAACAGCAGATTGGCTGACAGTCTGTTTAAGAAGCTAGAATCCTAGATCCTCTCACTTACTTCACACGTTCAGATTACCCTGCCTTCCCCAACCTGACAGAGACTAGAGGCTTTCATCTCTGAAGAAGGTGAAATAGATGGTAAAACACAGCAATCCTGGAACAAGGACAGGATACTACTTTTGAAGGACATTTACATACCAGTAAGAGCTCTTGAAAATGAAAAATATGATAAAATAAACTCAACAGACATGTTAAGAGAGAATTGATAAAAACTCTCCCAGGAAGCAATAAATAAATAAATAAAAGAGGTGGGAGAGAAAAGAAAAGGGATTCCTGATCTGTTTCAGCTACAACAGAAACACCATAGCTTCTGAATGGCTTGCGTCTAACAGAAATTTACTTCCTGCCCTTCTGGAGGTTTGGAAGTCTAAGATCAGGGCACTGGCAGCAATGGCGTCAGCTCAGGACTGGCTTCCTAATTCACAGACTGCCTTCTTCTCACTACACCCTCGCAGGGAGAAGGGGGAAACTGTGTTCCCCATCTTTTAAGGGCACCATTTTTATCATTGAGGGCTGTCCCCTCATGACGTAATCACCTTCCCAAGACTCCATCTCTAAATACAAACCTAAACATTAAAAGATGGACACCGTCTTGTATGAAGGAAAGTGGCATTTTGTTCCCTTGTTAGGCATCCGCCTAAGCTGTAGAATTGCTAGTCTGTACTTTGCCCACCTGAGTTGGGGAAATTAAGCACAAAAGAAAGAGGAAAGGAGGCAGCCGAGTGTGGAGCAGCCAGCAGCGTTGACATGGCCAAGATTCAAGGTCGTCTGGTGTAGTAGTTCCCTAGTTGTCATAAAGAATCACCCCAGATCTAGTGGCTTAACACAAATTGACAGTTCTGTAAGCGAGCCGTCTGACACTGGTGTCCCTGGGCTGAAGTCAAAGTGCCACCACGCCTGCCTTTCCTCGGGAGATGCTGGGAAAGAATTCATTCCTTTGTTTTTTCCAGTTTCCCGAGGTCACCCACAGCCCTTGGCTCATAGCCCTCCTCTCCCATCTGCAGAGCCAGCAAGAGATGGTGGAGTCCTTTCCACATCACACCCCCCTGACCTAATCCTCCGCCACCCTCTTCCACTGTTAAGGGCCATTGTGATTACAAGGGATCCACCTGGACCTCTTCCAAACCGCCAGCATGCGGTGGCAGCAGGTCGGGAGGATGCGTCAGACTTACTTCTGGGACCGGAAACTCTCCCATCACACGGATGAATCCCGCCTCGGGAGCTCTGAGTCCTCTGCCCCGACCCAACGGAACTGCCAGCACCACCAAGGATCTGGTGGTGACCGCAGAGATGTGCTGCTCCCGCTTTGATGTCCTCTACTGTCACCTCTATGGCTTCCCTCAGCCAGGACTCCCTAGATTCACCAATGGCCCCTATTCGCCCTTTGTGACATGAAGAAGGGGCGGGACAAGCGGCTTCGTGGCTGCATCGGGACCTTCTCGGCCATGAATCTTCATTCAGGACTCAGGGAATACCGCTAACCAGTGCCCTTAAGGACAGTCGAACCCCCCTACCACCCCCACCACCACATCCCCCCGCCCCAACCCCCCAGAGGAGCCGCCTAAACTGTCCTGCTCTGTCTGCCTCCTCACTAACTTGGAGGACGCCAGTGGTTACCTGGACTGGGAGGTAGGGGTCCATGGGATTCGAAATGAATTCATCAATGAAAAAGGTGTCAAACGTACAGCCACATATTTACCTGAGGTTGCTAAGGAGCAAGACTGGGATCAGATCCGGACGATAGACTCCTTGCTCAGGAAAGGTGGCTTTAAGGCTCCAATTACCAGTGAACTCAGAAACGTGATCAGACTCACCAGGTACTGAAGTGAGAAAGTGACAATCAGTTATGCAGAATATATTGCTTCTCTACTGCACTGTTTCCAGATTGGCACTCTTCATGCCCCGCCCCTCTACAACCGTTATTCCTGACACACGACTGCATGACCAGTCCCCGCCCCCCGCTCCCCGTGGCCACCGATGGCTATGACGTCATTGGAGCAGACACCTCCTCTTCTGGTCCCATTACTTCTATTACTACACCATTTTATGAGGCTAGCTTCCTTTGCCAAGTCTGCCTCCAGCTGACTCAAGGGTGGGGTGGGAGGGGGGTGTTATATTGAATGAAACAGAACTCGCAGGGCCCAAGCCTTATTTCAGCCTTTCCTCATTATGGGGTTCGTTGGATTGGGGCTCCTCCATGACTAGTGAGAATTGCCTGTGGGTACAGAAGGCCCTCAGCATGCACATGGCCACCTGCTTGCTGGCTACACAATGGGAGCTGGAAGTCATGATTCCTGAAGGCTGACCCCACTTGCATCCTTGTAGCCTCCCCAGATCAAGTAGATGTGTTTTCCCCTGGAGGTCTGGGCAACGGAGACCAACAAGACACATTTTTAGGTTGTTTTAAATTCCTTTTTTTAAACGTCCAGTTTATTGCATACCAACAGTTTATTATAACCTCCATGCTTCATAAGTGGACGCCATGTTCGGGTTGGCCGTGGGCACGGTGAGTCCTGTGAGGCTCCTGGACAGACACCCACATCCAGACTGAAAGCCCCCGGATGGCGTGGCAGATCTCACTCGTTGCTGGCGCTCTTCTCGCAGTGAGTCTCCTGGTCCTGCACAGGGAGCTCTGTGGTGGAACCTGCTGAGGAATGAACTGGGACGCCTGCAGGAGGCCCTGACATCCTTGGCAAATGTGAAAGGGGAGGCCTCCTCCTTACCACCCGCTACCTCGCTCCTCGCCTGGGAGCAGTGCCTATAGCTGCATCTAGGTTCACAGAAGACATGGATGTTCAAACAAGCACCTGGGTTGGGCTGTAGAAAGACACCTTGTCACAGGAGAAAATCCAGGGTCTCCAAGCTGCTTTTGTCTTTTCAGGCAAACATCTTTAAGGGACTGAAAAGCAGAGGAGTTCCTTTTTCTAGTTTCCCTGTAAAAGTGAGAAGACAGTTGACTTAGTCCTTTACATGACTTTAGAACAAAGCTGTGTAATTAAACAAGGTGAATCGTTATCTTGCCTAATATGCTGGGAATCTTCACCCCACGAGGACAGGGTTCCAAACAGCTCATTTTAGTCTCAGTCATTCGGTTTTCCTGTGGCATATTTCCCTTTCTCATAGCTGCTGACTAAGTACCTGTCAACAAGTTCCTCTTCCCTCTTGCCCAGCCTTCACTCCCTTGGTGCAGAGCTGATGGCAGCTGGGGCTTGGAAGGGGTGTGGCAGCACTGTCATGGAGGCACTGCTGGAAGGGCTCCCAGGAGGAGTGGCCGGTGGGAGGAGAGGCCCTAATGCCGCGACCCTTTAATAAGTTCCTCATGTTGTGGTGACCCCCAATTTCATTGTTACAAATTGAACATAATTAAAGCATAGTGACTAATCCCAAAAACAATATGTAATTATATATGTGTTTTCCAATGGTCTTAGGCGACCCCTGTGAAAGGGTCGTTCGACCCTCAAAGGGGTCGCGACCCACAGGTTGAGAACCGCTGCCCTAAGGTAATACTGTTCAACAGCACACTTGGAGAACTCTTGAAGTGGATTGGATGTCAACCTGGTGGACACAATGTTTTTATTTAATTTATTTTTTAAAGTTTATGTGGTGCTGGTGTGGCTTTCCAGAATGGGCAAATAGTCAAGTCAAAAGGCCTTTTGAGTTTTCTTCTACCAGGAATTGGGGAAGTGGATGGACAGGGACACAGTCTAAGACACGACACATGCTATTATAGGCATAGCTGTCTCGTTTCTTAGAAGAGATGAATACAGGTGGGCGGATATAGGGAGCAGCTCTAGGGTCAAGCCTCGGGCTAACCGGTGGCAGGGCCATAAAGAAGTCCCAGCCTGGAGGGGAGAGCTCTCATAGCATAATTAAGCCTGACCTTGTAGCCCTCCCTAATTCCTTCCTAAGTAGCTAATGGGCTGTGGGAGGTGCAGCAAGTGTTGCCAAAACAAGAACATTTGTATACATGTTAATGTACCCTTGTTTTAATCAGACTATAAAATAAAGCATCGGCTTGCAGGCTGGGTCTTTTGTGTCCTCATCCAGGCATGGGAGATCCACTGAGCCCCAGCTGTATTCTCTTGTCTGTCTTTTCTTCAATCCTTTACCGCCCCTCCTCAGGTTCACCCTTGGCCGTGCTGGCACGGCACAGGCAGATTAGCTTGGCGTCATACTCTTAGGCTATGGCGTGTGCAGGGGCAATGGGCTGACATCCGGATGCCCAGGCTGGGCTGCATTCTCACTTCCTGCCACTTTTCCTTGCAAGGGTATTGAAAAAGAGCTATTGAAGATGAAGGGATTGTTTCATGATTTCTTGCTGCTGAGAATAATAAATGTCTTGTTACAAACGTGATGAACAGTTACTTTTAGGTGCCATGGATTGATGTCAGGGTGGTCAGTTTGGGACTAAACCACCCACCTTCAATTTGTACAACAGTATTGATCTATAGCAGTGGTTCTCAACCTTCCTACTGCCACGACCCTTTAATACAGTTCCTCATGTTGTGGTGACCTCCAATTTCATTGTTACAAATTGAACAAAATTAAAGCATAGCGATTAATCACAAAAACAATATGTAATTATGTATGTGTTTTCCTATGGTCTTAGGTGACCCATTGTGAAAGGGTTGTTCGACCCCCAAAGGAGTCGCCACCCACAGGTTGGGAACTGCTGATCTATAGGGCTACACTTCATTATTATCCAAATGTTCTATGTTAAAAGTTGTGTTTAATTTCTAAAGATTTTTAAAAAAAGGCAAAAAAAATGGTGCTAAAATTTTACCCTGAGCACGCTCAGTGAAACTGCTCATGCAAGCATTTACCATGCCAGGCTTTTCAAGCCTATTGTTTCTCATAGAAATGCTGCCCTATTTGTCTTCCCCAATGTATAGTGCGATTTTTTTATTTTATTTTATCTTATTAGGGATGGGGTAGGATACGTGCCATTAAGAAAATGAATAGAACAATTGAACCCACACACGAGGGGGCTGGGGAATCTGCACAAGAACTGGCTGGTGAAGCCCAGCACTACACTGCAGTGGGCTCCCAGGCCCTGAGCTCCACGCAGGCCCAGCAGCAGAGATGCTCAGGGGTCCTCTCGCTTGTCACGGGGACTCCGGAGTTGACCAAGGAAAGTTAGATGGTCCTGGGAAGAATGGCGCTATCTGTGTCCGTCTTAAATAGGGCTTAGTCAGGAAGCAGTCTGGGAGTGCACGGTCATGGCCACCTCATGAAGGTGTGGCAGGTGGCTCTCAGGAAAAACACTGAATCTGGATCATCCGTGTGGCAGTTGTGCAGAGGGGGATGACAGCTCCCAACTAGAACTGAACTGCTCTCTGCGCACTCCACCTGCACAGTGATGAGGGCGGCCAGTCCACGTGTGAGTGGTGGGTTTCAAGAGAAGGGATGGTTTTGCTTTGCTCCGTTTGTCCTCGGGCTGCTCAAGCTGAACAGTAGGTGACCACTGTTTTCAAGGAACCAACCCCATGTGGCTGGTTTGGTCAGAGCTTGTTTCATCCCTTGCAGTGAGAGCCTTTTGGTCTGGAAAGTTAGCTCGTCTCATAACACCCACAGCTAGGAATTGCTCCCACTGTGAGGTTCTTAAACTTTTTTTGCTTCATAATTAATATTAAAGCAATTCGTGTTAGAGAGCCTTTCAATATGAAAGGTTTGTAATGGAGACATAACATTTTGTTGTTTATAATAAAAATCATCTATACAGAAGTCCTAGGTGTTAATATTTGCACAAGATCTGTTGTCCATGTTAACACCTACAATTTCACTAACTGTTGGCGTTATTTTCCGTTGAGATTCTGGAGGCTAGGGAGCCTGTGTGTTTTTTGTTAATTTTCCTATTTCCTTGAAGCAAGAGATTTTATATAGCCTTCAAGTGCAAGGACTTCAGACCAATTCTTTGTATTACACTTGGTTGCCTCTTGGCTATATAACTGCCGAGTGCAAATCATTGAACTCTTTAAGAAAGTATTGTAGAGAATAAATCATTATGGGTAAAAATTGTTCTTTGTCCTGCCTTTTTCCTTTTTTTTTTAAAGTAGTTTATTGATTTTTAGAGAGAGGAAGAGAAAGGGAGAGAAAAGCATTGATGTGAGAGAAAATAATTGATAGGCTGCCTCTTGCACGCCCCCTACCTGGGATTGAGCCCACAACCCAGGCATGTGCCATTGACCAGGAATCTAACCTAGTACACAGGACTACGCCCAACCAACTGAGCCACTCCGGCTGGGCATCTCATTTTTTTTTTTTGGAATAGTGATATCAGTCATCCTATTTTTAAAGACAGCCAACCAGTTGGTATTCATTCAGGCTACATATTTTGGGTGGTGTTCATGACCTCCAACAATATTTCACTTGTATATTTTTTTGTGTTTGGAAGCAATGCCACAGTACTGGTTTATTAGAGTCAAGTTTCCTGAATCAGGGTTTATGAACCCTTGAAAGTTTGGACTTTGGAAAGAAGACTCATAGATCTCATTAGCTTTTCCAATAAAACTGACCTTGCCCATAAAGTTAAAAACTGAAGAGGAGGGAGAAATACTCAAATTTAGGATATCATTTGGTGACATTAATCCACCCTGGGACACTAGTATGTTCTGACCTAATGGAAAAGGTTGATAGTTCTTAGAAGGCCCAGAAAAGATGAGATGTATTTGGAAAAAAATGACAAATAGTTTTCAAACAAATACATTCTGAGCTCGTCAGTCTTTGGTTTAAATTTTTATTTACAAGGATGTAAATTTTTTTCTCCTTAAAATACCAAGTTCTGAGGCTTGGCAGAAGTCATAAGCATATGACCACATGTTAGATATCAGGGTTATATGATAATTTTTGAAAAACTATGAACAACTGATTAAACAGTTTGGCAATAAAAAAAAGAGTTAGACTTTGAATACCCTTCAAAAGGCACAGACAGCCAATCAATGATAAAGAAGCGGCAAGAACCAATCAGAAGAGGATTGTGTCATCATAAGGTAAGTGACACTCTTCTATGATATCTCTAACCGAAGCCCAGAGGAGTCAGAGCTTTTAGAAGATTTAGAAATGGGAATCCTATAAGAATACACCACCACCAAGCTACTTGAGTCTATCTGTCCCTGGAGAAAAAGAAGAACTTTGAATCCATCCAATATTGATATTGCTGACTTGATTGGAGTTTTAATAAACAAGATTGTCTGGAAAATTTGCATACTCTGACCAAGATGCTATAAGAAATGGGAAGAGTAGTTTACAACGTAGTACCTGTTGAGGAAAGTCAGTGAAAAAACTCAGCTTACTCAGAATTTTACTTTTATGTGTCTATATTCTTCAATAACCTGTTAGAAGTATATGCACATCTGGAAAGCCATTCTATTTGTATGTAATCTAGATTACATTAGCTCTGGGAAGTATAACAGAGAGGAACATGATGTCTCTTAGCTGAGCTAAAGGGCCATGGTCTTTCCTCGGGCTCTTATTTCCAGCAATATATGTTCTTAAAACTATATTCTAACTGTAAAATTAAGGAAATTTGGCTCAAGTTAAAAGTGGCAAAATTATTTTCCCTTTTGTAAGTAGTGATAGCACAACTGGTGCTGTTATGCTAGTAAATACAAATGATGAGTTCATGCCTTCAAGATCTGAAAGTATATAAATATAATCAACATTTTTCTAGGTTAAAAGAGGCAGGAAAGAATCAGAGAAACGATTTGCTTTTATAATACAAACTATTTGTCTTGCTGTCATATTCAATCCTTTCAGTCTTATTCATCTACCCTCTTCAACCGCCTACGGAAGCCATCAGCGATGGAGCAACATCTCAACTTGAGATGTTGAGGGAAAGTATTAAAAATTTGTGAGCTGACTCAACTCTAATGGTGGAAATTTACATATTTCTCCTGAAAGACTTCAGAATAATTTTTAACATTCAGAACCTAAGAAAAGATAGCAAAACTATTACAATCAGTATGCAATCATAAATCATTGTGCTCTGTTGATTTTGAGTTTCTTTATATCTTTTTTATTTTATACTCTCATTCTCTCTCCCTCCCCTCCTCTTTCTTTTTGTTTTTACTCTGTGAAGCAGACATCCATTTTACCCATATTTGTTTCTCCTTTCCTTCTAGGCACATTGAAAAGCCAATGGATTGGAAGGAAAGTAATATATGCCCTATCTGTATGGAGATATTTAAGTTGACAGTACAAGATGCACCAGCACTTTCTTTCCCTGAAATTATGAAAAATGCGTGTTGAGAAAGAGATGCCAAAATCATAAAACAGCCTGAATTCAATGCAGCTACCCTGGCAAGTCAATTTTCTTGGTTACTGCAGTATACTCTAGCCCATCCTGACTGTTATAGTCACTTTGCATTATCTTTTTTTTCCATTTTGGTTTTTATTATTTTAATTTGCTCTCATCCTTGAATACTTCTTCATGTTACTGAACATGCTTAATCAATCTTCACCTTTAATTTGACAAGTATACATCTATAAAGATGTACAGGTATTACTGCTATGAAGAACCAGTTTCATTGGAGCATAAAGCTAGCAGGAGTCTTGTCAATTCAGGTTGAACCACAGGTGTGCACTAGGGGAGTGGGTAAGTACTGGGCTACTTCTGCTTGAGAAAGAGGCCTTCCTATGGCTAACTAAATCCATGGTGTGTTTATGAAAAGAGCATACGCACTGGCACCAGAGAAACTCAATTTTTAATTCTAATTCCACCCCTCTCCCCTCCAGACCTTTGAGTAATGCTAAACTCATTCTGCCTCAGGAAACATCCACAAAATAGAGAAATGATATATCAAATTTGGGGTTTGGTTGTGGTTAAAGATAACAATATAAAAACATTTGGCTTACAGTTGATAGTTGGTAAAAGATAAATGCTATTATTATGTTCTGTTTTCCTGTCAAGATTTTGAAGATGACCAGGTGCTGGAGGCTTCAGGGAAGAAAACAGGGTACTAACAGTGCCCTTTGTTCTCCAGCCTTGGTGTCTCGTTCTGCTCGACTCTCCTGTATTGATTTCCCAAACCCTTTGAGGGATAGTTCCAAAATATATCGACTTAGCTAACTGAAAAGAAACACAAGTCAGTATTCCCCTCAGGCTAACAAGAATCTTATTTGGGCAGATGGCACGCTTGAATTCCTGGAATGATGTTTATTCCTTGCACCACACACTGTTCATGTTACTGCCATTTGGCATGCAACAAGCTTTGTAAAATGTACTAGGTATCAGGAAAGCAACATAGCGACATGTTTCCTACTATGTAAGGCACCTGGTCTGAGTTTGGGAGGGGGTTAGTTGGGGAAGAACCTCTTAAGTGTCTTCAGGAAGATTCAATGTAGGTTAATAGTTAAATATATAGTTCATACCCGAGGTCTGTCACTTACGATCTGTGTGACTGATCAAATTATTTTTGTCTCAGTTTTCCTACAACATTGGGAAGATGGCAATGTTCCCCACCTTGTAGTTTTGACGGAGGATTAAACAATTATATACAACACCTTCAGAAAAACATTTGGCACCTCATATGTGCTATGTAAGTGTGGCTATAATCATTATTACAGTAGAAGGAGTATAGAAGAAAGCCAATAGTTAGTTTTCTAGAACTTCAGTGTATACCAGCTTCTCAATATCTATGTAGTTGTAGTCTTTCTTATGAGAATAGTGAAAGAATCCTCTAGGGCTGTGGAACCTCCTTAGCTTCTATTCCTATTTTAAGGAATAGAAGCAGCTGTGTAGAAATAATATAAGTAAAAGTGGATGCTTAGACAGATTTTGGCCAATGACAAATTTCACAGTTTTGCAATAGCCTCAAAAATAGATGCTTCTTAACTCTTAAATTTTTAAATAACTGAAGGCCAAATACTGCTGCTGAAAACATCAGGGAAAGATTGAAGCCCCCAGGCCTGGCTGGTTCTCTACTTGAACAGAATCTGTGGAGTAGTTAATCATGAAAGAAAAGGAGGGAATAAGATTATGAGCTGGGAATGAATGCACTGGAGGTATACTAGGTCTGCTAACCACATTGACAGTTGAAGAACGAAAGTCAAGGCAAATGTGTTATGTGTAGTCTAAGTCTATTATCATAAAAACCAGCCTCCTTATTCAGAGGGTATAAGTTAGTGTCCAGGAAATGATAGGGAAACATCCAGGCTACAGGAGGATAAATTGCATAGCTCTCTTGAAACTTACCATAAGCAGGCAGGAGAGGCAGCTAGTAGTACTGTTTTGACAATGGCCCATCTTCAATAAATTAGTTCATATATTTAAATATTTATTAAGCACTGACTATATGTTAGGCCCAATGATTATCTGAATAAATAATGATCGATACAGAGTAGAATCTCAGAGTAAACTGTAGGATTTGGTGACTGATGAGCTGAGGCTGGGGAGGAAGAAGAGGCCAAGGAGATTTCTCAGGTGTTATAGACCATAGAAAGCACCAGTTTGGAGGAACTATGAGATTTTAGTTTCAAGGTGCACTGCACTTGCAAGACCATTAGAATGGGATTTTTTTTTACCCTTTAAAGATAACTATTAATGGAAAAAGGAAGTCAGAAACCTAATGTTGATGCTTTGAGAGAAATTGGAAGGTAAGGAAGTAGAGATGACGATAGTCCATTCTTTCAAGAGAATTATGAAGACTTACCTGGCACTATAATTATCATAAAATATGGTCAAAAAAGACTTTTTAATGGAAAATATTTAATAGCCTGGTGAGAAGAATAAATTGGAAGGGACAAATTCAAAGAAATGATGGATCATTGACCTCAGAAGAGTCAGTGGATTCAGATCAATCTTGGAAGAATGAACATTTAGCAAGAAAATAAAATAAAAAACTCACTATCTAGGATTGGAGGAAAGCAGAAATTCTTTCTACAAGTAAAGGGGAGAGGTTTTATTTCTGGGTTCCTAAGGTCAGATGGATGGTATTATAGAGAGATAATATTTAGGCTAAAAATAAAGGTGAACATAATAGTTTTTAATATTGTCAAAGCATAATGGATCATCAAGAGTGGTTGTATGTTATTTTTGATTGGAGATAGGCAGGAAAGAGCTAAGCGATTATTTATTGGAAATGTATATGCATTTGAAATACAGTGGCTCATTCCAATGACCCAGTCTACTGCTGATTCTCTGATTTTTCAGAACTTGTTTTACACATTTACTTTCCAGTCTAACACTATCCTGGGTATTTTTTGAAGGCCTAGAGAGCAGAAAATATTGATTTTTAAATTAAGCTTGTAGAAAGACTTTAAATCCTGTGCTTGCTTCTGATAAGAGAGGGAGAAGAATGTTTTCACCTTTAAATGGCAAAGAAATGGAAGTAGCAATAAACCTAAATTTGGACACATGAATCTTTGTAATTTAATGCAAATTTGAGGATAAATTCCCTTGGAACTTACCTGAATAATGAAATTCAGATCATGGAGGTTGGGGGGAAAGAAAAATATCACTAGTTATAATAGAGATGGTGGTGGAATGGGGAAAAGGGAGCAGCGCAATGTAAAAGAGGAATCACCCCCTCCCATTCTAAAGAATACACTTCTCTGTTGTTGTTTTAAATATGTTTTTATTGATTTTTTAGAGAGAAAGGAAGGGAGAGGGATAGAAAGCTAGAAACATCGATGAGAGAGAAACAGCATCGATAGGCTGCCTTCTGCACGCGCCACACAGAGACTGAGCCTGCAACCTGAGCACTTGCCCTGATGGGGAATCAACTGGTGACCTTTTGGTTCCTGGGTTGATGCTCAAAGGCTGAGCTACAACTGCTGGGTGTGAATACAATTCTCTTAATACAACTAACTGTTATCTTAACACAACCAAAAATTAACAATATAGTACACTGCTGATTGACATGAGCTCCTCAAATAAAAGTCCCCACTATAGAGATGAATTAATAATTGTTGGATAATACTTTCAGATCTTTAGAAGCAATCATTAATGCCAGTTCCTATTTACTGGTGTGTACTCCATCTTAGATATTCATTTAAAAAATTACTCTGGTATGGAGTATGGACTAACCAGCAGAAAGACTAATGGCAGGACAACCTATAAGAAAGCAGGTACAATATTCTATCCAAGAGGGTCAGAGCCAGTAACAAGGGGGCTGGGGATGGAGGGAAGGAAGATTCATCTGAAAATAAACATTTTTCCAAATCAAGAGCAACTTTTCCAAGGAAATAACATGGATCCAACATGCATTATTCTTAAATAATATGAAGTGGCTCCTAATGATCACTACTTCCTTTTCTAAATGATCGTAATTCATGCTGCTAATAAAATATTCTGGAATCAATATGCTTCTTTGATAAGTTCAAGAAGCCCCCAAAGGAAAACGGCCTGAAGGATGGTTGGTGAGGTAGTTTAAATCAATCCAACTACTTTGCCCAGAAGGTCATTTTAGTTTATGGATATAGATGCAGATATAGAAAGAAAAGAAATAATAAAAAAGAGAGAATGATGAAGGTAAAATAACAATCAGAGAACTGCAGCTCAGTGTAGGTTCATCGATTATAACAAACATACCTCTCTGGTGGATGCTGACAGTGGAGAGGACTGTGCAGCTCAAGGAGACAGGAAATACAGGGACTCTCCCTACTTGCTGCTCAATTTTGCTGTGAACCTAAAACTGCTCTAAAAAATAGTTTAAGAATAAAAACCATTTTTATATGCGTTAATCAAATTAAAAGTTTAGTTCAGGATAAAGAGAGGCTCAAGAATTTTAATACCCTTACTTTTAAACATATACAAAAATTGGGCTTATTCAAAGAATATTTCCAAAGCAAGATAGCAGTATAACCAATCAAAGATTTAAGATGACACATAAGATCCTTGTTACAATATGTTCTTTTTGAAAGAAAGATAGACATGTAAGCATATTCATCCACAAATAATTTTTACAGCTTTATGTTTATTTTTTCTAACCACTGTTTTAAATGTATGCAAAATGCATAAATAAATTATTCTAATACACAGAAGAAAAATTATCCTGAAATAAATGTTCTTGACATGGATAAAATGGTTCCTACCTTTTTGTGTTCTTTAATACAGTTTTAATCACTAAATTATATACTTTGCATATAATGAGTTTAAATTATTTTATAGTGAATCATGATAATATACTGAAAGGCTAAGTATGTAGCTCACTGTGGTTTTCTTTTAAACATAATTATCCCTTCTTCAAATGGACTCAGAGTACCACATCACACTCAGCTCTGGACCTATCAGTGAGGATCCTCCCACCTGTTTTATACCTGAAATTGTGAAAAGGTGGTAATAGGCCATCTAGCTAAACTCCTAAGCGTCATTAGGAGCAAAGATGCAAAACTCAGGCAGGTTCCTACCTGCTCTTTACGTAGAAAGTTGCTAATAGAACAAATCCAAATAAAAGGTTTGACAATGTCACAGAAAGTAAAATTATTCTTCAGTCTTTTCAGAAATTTCACAAGAATACTGAGTATATGCCATTGTCTCAATCATATGTGAACACAATTTGTAAGGTTCAAAACACAAGATAAATCTATCATCACAATCTAAAATACTTGGTTTCAGGTAAAATGAGATTCGCTTCTGATAAACATCTTATAATCACAAAAAAAACTTTACTTCTAGTGAAATAAAATTACATTCTCAGACTGTAAATATTGAGTTGATCCAACCTAATGATTTCTGCTCAAAAAGATTTGTCAATGAAAATGGATAGAAATGAGCAATGGCATATGTGAGCAAAACAGGAAGAACTCATTACTGTCATAGTATAAGAAGTAGATATTTTACATGCCCCTTAATTCCATGTTTTATTCAGTGATTATACAATACTCATTCTGAGCCACACATATTCTGCAGAGAAAACACCCTCCTTCCTCCATCTGCCCTATCTTTATTCATATTAGGGACACTTTGGAAATAATTTGCTGAGGAAGAAAACTTATGGGAGACCATGGTTATTTC